GTGAGCTCGCCTGTGTGAAGCTAATTCTTGATCAGCAGCGTTATCCGCACAAATTACCTTCGCTGATGGCACAGCAACACGTTTAGGGTGTGCCGTACTAGTAGGTGGTTCCTCGCCATCGGAATAGACGCGCAGCACCATATGCGGATGTGACCTGTTGAAAATTCAAAAACTCAAATTAGTTTATCCTAGACAGCTGAGGCTTTGAAACTATTGCAGTTTCACGGTCATAGCCGACTGAACGAAAACGTACCTGAAAGCCGTGGCCTGAAAGCCTGGCTCTGGCCTGGACACAACTTGAGCCAGGCCCTAAGCCTTCATAGGCCGTCTACAAAGCCCGGCTGGGCTTGGCCTAAGTGGGCCCGGCTAGGCCCGGCTCACGGCCTGAAGCCGGGCCTTGAACATCACTAGTTCTGCCATGCCGTCGAAATCAGCATCAGCATCAGCAGCGCAGCGCAGGACCAGAAGACCCACTTACTGTTCGACCTGCCCGCCCCGTCGTCCGAGAAATCTCCAAGGAGAAGACTTCTCCTGCCCACCGAAAAACCGTGATCAAAACTGTGATCCGCTCCACGAAAAGTGTGATCCTGCCTGGTTGAAACCGTGATCGAGGGCAAAGAACCATGATTCGGTGCTTGCCTGGGACAAGTCTTGACGCGCTCGCCGCAGCAAAAGTGTGATCCCGCCTCTGTGATTCGAACTCCGACCTCAGTCACGATCACGCATTTTCGTCTGAGACCGTAACACGATTATATCGGACCATAAAAGGGATAAATCATAATGGACTTGATACGGCGTCATCATCGTGTATTTTAGATATTCTGTTTTAGTCATGTTCTTTGCTAATGCCGTGCCGACATCTGATATTTTTGGAACACCCCATGTGACGTGGAATGCAAAGTGGATGTTCACTAGAGTGTACTAGTGACGGGTTATGATTCCGAAATAGACCAGCTCTCTGTCTTTCAAAAACCATGTTATTTTGTAAAGCCTCACTTTAAAGGAGTATCATCCTTATAGTGTCCCTTCCCTTTCCAACAACGACCACTTCTCCCTTCTCGATTATCTCCCACATTGCACAAAGACCATCTCTCTCACTTGTGTCGTCCACCCGCATGCGTCTCGCGTGGTTCTCGTGTGCGCTTACTTGACCGACTTCCAGATACATCGTCTCTATTCGGAAATTCGTTTTCGTTCTACATTTCCTTCCTACCGGTCGCCGGCTACCACTGATAATTCGCAAACAATAATAGTACTGCGTTATCGGTCATCCCCCCTCTACATACATCATCCTGCCGGCATCATCGTACACTGTGCGTAAACAAATGAAAAGGAAAAGCCCATATACTGTATTTCGTTTCCAACTATGATGTGCTTTCAGAAACCCACTAACTATTTCGCGCCATAACTCCACTCCGTGTCTGCCATTACAACATTGCCAAGTCCCTGTTCGCACCAATACAAAATGCAACTCCACATTACTTTGTTTACTCTGCTCAGAGGATATTACGTCCGTACGCTGGCTGTGCTGCAGCGTGTGAACTACAGCATGTCGGGCCTCGGGAATCGATACCAGATGAGCACCTGCTGAGTATTTGTCCTTCAAATCCTATAACCATCTAGCGAGCTTTCCATAGATTGAAATATCTGTTCAACCATTCAATCTCAAATCACGAGGTTTACACTCAACAACTTCATCATTGCGCAATCTAAACCCAAGTTTGATTCAAATCCTCGTACGTCGTCCTTTGAGTTAACCATCGTTTCTAACGGCACCCTCGAACCCACTTAGTACTTTCAGTTGGTTCATGCCATTGCATCTCGCACATCACAACCTTTGTCAACGAGTGATGATCAATGTCAGTACTCCCATCTCTTATCTCTCGCATGCTCTCCAACTTCTTTGATACTTCTTGAAGGAACTCGGGCGAGACCCTCCCAGGTTGCTGTCAAGGGTGCCCAATACAACTACCGCGGATGTCAGCCCCACCCGAAATGTTTGGACAATATCTCAGACCATACATCTGAACCGGTCTCTGTGGATCATCGGTGATTGCATCTTACATCCAATAGTACGACGTTCTATAGCATTTACAACTGCATAACTCAATCTCAAACGAGCGCATAGGTCGACCAATATTCAGGTAGGCCAACGTTGCATCGGGGAAGGACCCATGAACAGATTGCGCCGCGTCACAAGATTTTGGAAACGGATCAGGTTTCTGAAGAGTCAACGAATTCGAAAGTAATTGTCTTGTTCATCAGAGACAGAAATTGCAAAACCATGCCATTCAGTGCACTATGCACCGTGGTACTAGTACAAAACGAAGTCTACTTCGAATTCATCATCGCTCGGAGGTGTCTTTCTCTCGCTGTGTTCACACTTTCAAACGAACACTGAAATGGTTCAGGGTGACTTTGGTGGAGTCAGCCGCAGGTTCTTGAGTACATACTAGGCTACTTACATCGCCAAGCCGGCGGTGAACTCCGGCTTCACCTCAATACTGTTTCCGTTTGAGTCTTTGGCATGATCGATGCGCAAGACGGCGAGTATGGCAGCAGTTGCGGTCCAAAGACTATTCTCTGCAAACCAGCGACCTGCCAAGGAATTTGACACCCTCAGCACTGCCAGATCAATCATGAATAATCCTACCAGGACAAATACGCCTTGCAATAAGGGTCAGTGAATGACTTTAAATGACAGTAAGTGCGGAATATTCACCTGCCATAACCGAAGGCAAAATGGTTGACGAAAGGGTCCTTCAGCTTCCCGTCATCTGTCAGATGGCGACTTGGATCGAAGCGCGATGCATCGGGAAATATGTTTTCATCCCGAGAGAGTGCCCTGAGCCACGCTCAGCTCAAGCCGCCGTTATATGCACTCCACCATGACATACCACTGATTAACCATTACCATCGCCCCTGATTGCACTACAGATGAGTCAACGACAACCTCGACACATATGACTTCGAACCTTTGGGTATGAAGTACCCGTCGTAAACATCATCATTTGATGTCGCATGTGGAATTCCTGTGCAAGTGGTCGAACATTCAAACAGAGCTATATTACTGCGGACTAACCTAGGGGAATGATAGGATACCATCTCAGGACCTCGTGGAGAATGGCATCAAGGTAGGGCATTGACGCCCTGTCATCAAGGCACGGCATTTTATCATGTTTTACAGCTTGGTCGATTTCTGCACGAGCCCGGGCTTGGACGTCAGGATAGAGCACCATGGTCAGCAGGAATATCTGCAATGCGGTTGCACTCTGCGGGACATCAAAGTAAGAATCAGGACTGCTTAAGTAGCGACTCACAGTGTCCATGCCAACTAAGATGCCGGATTCCCGTCAATGGATAAATTTTGTCCTGGTAAAAAGACTCTTACCCATGTACCCCGTCAACGCAACAGCCTTCATAGTGTCTTCATCAGCGTCGTCGTGAGCTTGACTAAGAAAGTCAGCGACCAATGAGTGTGAAGCAGTCCCATTTGCCTTCACATAAACAGATCAGGCAATATTTCCATCCAGAGCTCTGCACAAACGCACCATCTGTGCCTTCACTTCATCGAAGGGCTCGTTCAAAAGCTGTTGAGCTAATTCTCTAGAGCGTCCCATCAGGGCAAATGCTCCACCGAAGCACCAGAACGGTAACTTTTCGACTGCAACCTTGTGTCGAATGTTCAAAATTATGTCGCCGATAGGGGCACTCACGGAAAGGAAAGGCTGTGAACATGGCAGCCTTCTCGGGGGAAGTGATATACTTGCCAATATCCATAAGTTCGCGCGCGCGGGAAAGAAATGGGTCTTTATGTCCGTGAGCACGGTATCCATATGTCACAGCCATGATTAGGGATGCCACGTATCTGTCACAAAGATTGATAGTCAACTGGACCATACATCACTACGACATCGCTGGATCAGATACGAACGTTTCAGTCTGATGCTGCGGGTCACTAATGGCATCCAAGAGATTAACCACCAGCTCATTTGCGTGGCGAGAGTACATCTCGTAGTGTGAGACCGAGACTTCGGCCCTGAGGACTTGGTGGAATATCTTGCGATGTCGCCGTAAAGTCTCGCCATATGGCAGGAGCACAGTACTGAAATCCACTCCGGCTCTGTATCGTCAGTGAATGAATAACAAACTGAATGAAACACGACAATGCATACAATTCGTTGGTGCGAATAACGGGGCGAGTAGAGTAATTCCCAGAACGCCTGTCGAGCAGCTCCCGCGCGATCGTTTCAGAGTTTATGATAATCAAGTCGATCCCAAATATGCAGGAGTGAATGATTTTTCCTATGATCAAAGATGAAATTGGATCTGAGAGCTTGGCAAAGAGGCCATTGGTCTACCACCAACCATATGTCTTTCCCCACGCGGTGTATGTGAGCCAAGGTCGTTTAGTATCCAATTGCAGCGCGTTACCGAAAAATGGTAACGGAGGAGGGCCGGGCGGCAAAGGTAAAGGGTAGACACGTCTGCGAGTCAGATGCGAAACGACAACCAGGGCAAGAATGCACGATATCCCTGAAGCTAGGATATGAGTGGAGAGCATGGTGAAGGATTATGGTCGAGCCCAAGACATGTTCTCATAAAAGGCGTCTTTGACCCATTTATATATATTTATACCACGTAGAAAGGCTTGCCATTCTTTGTCTGAACTCAAAAACGCGACGTCACAGGTCGGGCTTCCAATATCATTAGGGGTTCGGAATGGATTATCACGTGATGTTTAAAACCTTTCCAAGTCTTTTGTCAGCATTTCCCAGGGCCTTGCTGTGAATGCACATGCATGGTTAGACTGGTGACCAGCCCCTCTATGAGGCAAACCGTCGATAGAGGGACTGGTAAATCTGGGTTTGAATTTGGATAGTGCGCGCTTTGGAGTCGTCACATGACCTGTAGCCAATAAGAAAACTGAAATTTTCGACGTGAATATTTGAAATGTTGAAATTAATGTTTGATTCATATTGATGTGATGTATACACGGTCGCGTCATTAATGTATGTATCTACTCTACAACTCCAATGGACGTGAACTCTATCATCCAAGCTGTGCAGGAAGCCTCGATGGAAGGACTAGATTCATTTGCTCGTTCGCTGATACAAGAACGGCTCCCTACCGACTATATCGAAACCCTCAGTGACAAGGATAAGACGGATGTGTTACGCGCTTGCCTGCTCGTGTACATCCTCACGGCTACAACCATTGTTCCACGAGTATTCCAGCTAGAAGCCATTCTTGCAACATTGAATGGCCATGACAGCATAATTACAGCCGGTACAGGCTGCGGAAAGACCTTGTGTCTCATAATTCCGAATCTACTTTGTCCAGACACTATCAGTGTGACGATTTCACCTCTGAAACGTCTCCAGATCACACAGGTAAGATTCAAATTGATATTGACTTGTATTACATGCGAGAATAAGCTCATGGTAGGTGAATGAATGCATGAAATACGGCATATCTACAATATCAATCAATGAAGACACCCCAAATGATGCGTTGCTCTGGCAGGTGAAGTTGACTCGCATACTGTTACTAATTTCTATGTACGGGGACACATGAACTCATTTACTATCAATATACAGTCAATTTGTGCTGGAAAGTACAAGCATTTGATTGTCTCACCAGAACAACTGTCAATGTTCAATGGTCATCTACCACGTCTTGCACGGCTCATTCGCCAAGATGGAGCGTTCATCAAAAGAATCAAACGAGTTCACATTGACGAGGCACATAACATCTACACAGCAGGGCTTGCACATCATGGTGAAGAGGCATTTCGACCATCATATGGCAAGCTGGGACAGTTTCGTGTGTTACTGAACAAAGACACAACATTCCAAGCTCTATCTGCAACTCTTCCGCCTCACATTCTCTCTGCCATCAAACGTGAACTCCTGATCCGATCTGACCATCTCTCATTGACACTTTCAACTAATCGACCAAACATAACCTATGCTGTGACACCTTTGATTGGTGGCCTTCGTAATTTCTCCAACTTCAATTGTCTTATTCCACCTGACTACGCAGCTCCGATGATCATCCCAAAAACCCTGATTTTCCACGACAACAAGCTCGAGGCAGTTGATGCAGCAGCCTATAATAACTCTCGTCTCCCGAAGGCATTACAGAATCATGGTGTCGTCAGGCACTATCACAGTGACATGTCCTCTGAGTACCTCCAACAAACATATGAAGACTTTGCATCAGATGGTGGAAGCTGTCGTATTCTGCATGCAACTGCGGGCGCATCGACAGTAAGAATACTACCACACTGATTGAATTATGATGCTTGATTTTCGCTCTACAGGGTCTTGACATCCGTTGTGTGTCTGTTGTCATTCAATATGGTATTCCTCGCAACATGTCAGAAGCAGGGCAACGTGGAGGTCGTGCTGCTCGGGACGATAAGATCTCTGGACTGTTCTTGATGATGGTTGAACCCTGGGGACTCGAACTTGAGCTGACCGACGAACACAATGATGTGAATGACCCTGACAAGCCTTATGCAGGAGTCATAAAGAAGAACTCGTCAAAACAAGATCGCACTGGCTGTGCCGCACTGCGCTACATTCAGTCGAAAACGTGCCTAAGGGAGTTTTATGCGAAATACCTACATGATGAAACTCCCTCCGGTGACATTGAATAACCATGTCATCATGACTTCACTAACACCTTTCTTTTTAGCCCTCCACTATGTATCGCAGTACTGTTGTGACCGACACAGTTCCAATCATGGCTTTAACCTGTCTCAATTCTTTCTTGGTCCAATGTACACTGGAGACGTTGTCACCACCACTAGCCAGCCAACAAAACGTCGTCGAAACCAGTTGAGGGACAAGAACGAGCGTGATATTTTGTACGAGAAGCTTTTCGACTGGCGTGCTCAAGAACATGCAGCAGATCCCCTTCGATCTGTTCGCCCAATTACATGGATCTGTGACGACAACGGGTTAGAACTTCTCAGCAAGACTCATCCGAACAACCTGAGGTCAGTGAGAGACATGACAATCATTCTTCATGAGACGGAGGAGTGGGAACAAGACTGTGGTGAAAGGATGTTCGAAGTGATCAATCAGTTTGTGAGTGAAAGACAGCAGGCTCGGGAGTCGGTAGCAAAAAAGGCTCGTATTGGTGGACTAGATGTCGAGCATGCATAGAATACAACTATTCCTCACTAATGCTACTCAAATCGAATGAAGGTCGAGGAATTTCATCTTCATCTTGCTCAAAACCCTCTCCTGCCAACATGTTGCGAACCTTTCAGTTGAATGTCGTTAAGGTTGATGCCTTCATTTTCTTCTCGCCTGTCATGAGAGCATCAGTCACTGGTCGTACCACATCATCGTCCATTCGTTCGGAGGTGAACTGATGAAGTCTGAGCTCGTCTATCTTCTTTGCTACCTTCCACACTGATGCTGAAGTATCCGGGGATATATGAGTGAGACCATGATAAGCAATTCCCAGCGCATGTCCAACTTGTTTTTTGACATTTTGAAGAAGATCGACGGTCGCAGAGATGTCTCCAAGACGATCCCATGTTGCATAAACACCCTTTGCTGCGAAGAATTGCTATTGTAATGATCAGAGCGACTATGAGTGAGTAGATAATCCTAAATGGTACGGGTACCTTCAGAAACTTTATGCAGTGCTCGATATTCAAGTCAATAGGCATGCTGTGACCGTCAAGACCGCTGAAGTTAACAAGTGCATTATCACGCATGATATTCCTGCAATCTCGTCAATGAATCGAAGTTCGACATGATTACAACACATACGCAAATTCGGCGGTCCAAACCTTTTTCAGGTTGAAGAGGAAGTGCAGGATTTCGGTGCAATAATTGTTGGAGCCTGCACCACGAAATATCATTGCCAAGCTACCCAGAATGTCCTCGACTCGACCCCAATCACCGTCTGAAATTGCAGTAACCAACTCCAGCACATAGAGCAGGTCTCGTGTTAACAGCCGAAGATTCCGATGGGCCACATCATCGAGTTCAGGATCTTCCAAGGGAAAGGCAGACTGTTTCTTCTTCTTCGAAGACTCGTAAGCAGGTGTTGCGTAATTTGAAAGAATCGTATTCGAAATGTTCAGCAGATCATCTGTAGTTGGTTTCGATGATGCAAAAGCCGCCAGAGAGTCGTAACCGCATTCAACCTTCCAGCTGTTCAAAATTATGCCGTGAAGAATTTGCAGTAGGGTGGATAAGAGAGTATGATAGTCGGGGTGCTCGCAGCCAAGTCGAGTGCGATCAAGAAGAGCAAAAAAGTACGAAAGACTGCCAAGTTGATGTATGGATCCACGATGAACATGAAGAAGTGCCCAGACAAGGTTCAAACAGAGGTGGAACAGCCCGAATCCAAGTTGAATAGTCTGAAGTTGCGTAAATGGATTGATGTCCTGAGTTCGAAGAGCCTTCGCGCCACGAATGCGAGCATTGGTTGACTGGTCATTGAAACTCGGAATCGCACGATCCAAGAGCTCTTCATGGCTCATCTTCAACTGATTGATATAGACATCGTTTACAACAGCTATGTTCCCCGAAATCGAGCTTTCATCTATAGTTGACGTGCGGAGAGGGTATTGCTTTGTACGATAGCCTGCCGGAAGCTTTCGGCGTTCATGGTGTTGTAATCTCGTAAAGCCCTTGAAGTTCGTGCAGTGCTCGAGCAAGATGTTGACGATATGCACCTGAAGTTGTGCATGATGTGATGCTATCTGATCGCGGGTTGGGCGTATATTAGCATTGAACATCAAATCAGTAGCTGCTTGTGCTCGTTGAAGGATGGGGGAAAGGCGCATATGAGCAGGGTTACCATTTCGAACCTCATAAAGGATGGCAAAAGTTCCTGATTGGACCTTGGCCGGCCCAGATGCACGTTGTTCAACGAAAATTGACGTGCTGATATTGATATTATCGTAGCACATGACATGTGGTCCTCTCGCAATCCTGCGTGCTCGTTCGATGCATTGATCAGCGAGGATTTCGAGAAGTTTGAGGAGCGAAGTGAATGATATACACAGGCCACACTTATGAAATGCTTCAATAGTTTGACGTGAGGCACCATTCGTCCAAAGAAAGAGCGTGAATGGTGCAGAAAACAAAATACTGTGGTATGAGCGCTGTACCGCAAGTTGTGTGATAATAACATTGCAGGCCTTGAGTACGAGGCACGATGGTTAAAACATAATGAGACATGAATGGAACAGTGGTCGTACAATACCACAATCTTTAACTTTATTCTTCGCCTTTGCACGTGCGGTTTGAGCAGCGCTTGCAATAATTTCGCAAAGTACAGGTGCATGTTCGTGTACGACAGAGGAAAGAGTTGTTTCGACATTGCAGGCAAGGAGGAGTTCAGGAGTAATGGTATTGAGCTTGACATGGAGGCACTGTTTGACCTGGTCCATTTCACCGTACACAGCATCACAGACATATGAGAGGGCATGCGGACGCATCCACTCGAGGACACGGGCCTGACTTCGCGGATCCTCCCACAGAAAGTCTAGCACTTTTTCCAACCTCCCCGTACCCAAATTCTTCTCCGTCACAGAAGGAACATAAAAACGGTCACGATAAGTCGCATAAGATGCATCAGCAGGGTCCAGTATTGTGACGAGGAAGTCTAGGATAGATATGCGACCATCCCGCAGTGTTTGGAGTGCGCTGTTGATCCGATCGTGAGTAGACATCCGGTTTCGTCTGGTACTCGGTGTAGGGATTGATGCTGGAGATCCCATGGTAATGTCGACAAAGCCAGAGTCCACGGAGCGATTTAGATCAGTCTCAGCAAGTACTGAGAGGTCTCCGTCACGTTCGAGCCATCCTTGAGACATCCTGGAATCCTTCCGAGTTGAGAAGAGCTTGAAAGTTAGGACCACTAGACACAGTGAAAAAAGATTGATTTGAGGCAGAATACATAAATAGAGCACGTCTCAAACGTTAGGCTGCCCCACAGCAGTTGGAATGAAAGCTGATCACTGCTGGAGACGACGAGCGACATTACATAGAACAACGGTACTTGTAATGTATGATCGAATAACTTAGCAGACTTATCTAAGCAAGGTCTAAGTCCCGAACAGGGTTTTCCGTCATGTGACGACTCCAAAGCGCGCACTATCCAAATTCAAACCCAGATTTACCAGTCCCTCTATCGACGGTTTGCCTCATAGAGGGGCTGGTCACCAGTCTAATGCATGGTGTCGATAAGGTTGCGTGGGCTTCTCAAATCTTTCGGGAAACTTTACCACTCTATGTACTACCGAGGCGACGCAAATAGTCTTCTTGACGCGTTCAATTGTTCGAATCTACAGGATTAGTAATCAATAAGTCCGCTTCTCTGCATCTATGGGAATTACCTGCCAGTGCGTCCCTATCCTAGTCACGCCCCAAGCGCTCAAGCCTGTACATTCTGATGGGTCGGACATCTATCATTGGTCACATACTGCTATCTACGGAGCGCTTGCAAAGCGCCCAGCCTCCAAACCCAGAATACCATCTTCTAGCATCAAGGGTAATAAATAATTATGCCTCATGGCTTGGGCGTATCTGAACGGGCTCATGTGGGAGATAACGACTATAAAAACGGCGATTATGACTGCTACCACCCCTCTACCCTCGTCTGTACTTTGTCATAGTGAGCTTATCCGTAACAGCAGCAATCATGCAGCCGAATGAGCCAGCAATCCCTGGGGCATTAGCAGTAGGTCAAGCTGATACTTCGTGAATTTCTGTCCTGACGTTCCTCGCAGGAGAATATCCTTGAGTGCCCGTCCCCTGAAAAAACGGAGAAGGCTGAACACCACTACCTGCGCCGTTACTTTATATGGGCTAAGGCAGATAATTCAATTCCCGCACAAGAATGGGGTAGAACAGAGCAAGGATGGGGTGCTCCGCTTGTGCAATATGCTTGGAAGCCATATGACCCATCATCCGTTCAGCCTGCGCCGCCTCGCGAGGATCTCGATAATTACTTTTACGTCAATAACCGGTATGCTAAGCGGGACGGTACGACATACGCTCTAAACTCCGGCTTTGTGCTGATCTTTTCACAGTGGAACCTGATGTAGTTTTCAGTCATTTCAGCACCGTCTTGATTGATTTCCTGCGGTCGGTGATTTATGAGTATCTTCTGCAAATCCTCATCCCATCTTCTTAGCATGGCTATTGGCGACGAATTTTTCGAACCAAATCCGGAATCGCCTCTCACCCACTTTGTCTTCAAACTCGACGAGCTCAAGGCCCACCATTTGGATGCACGTTCAGCTTTGTCTAATATTTCAGGGGAGGAGTTGAAGACAAAAGCGCGCGATCTTGGCCGCTTGGACTCGCTGACCCGTATGCGTCATTTTATCAATAATTCTTGCATTAGCCATCAGCTAACACTCCACGTCAGCGCAGAAAACCATGCAAGATGCCCAGCAGTACCTCGAGGATCTCGTTAATCAATTGGACATTCTCATACCTTTGGTTGAGAAAGAGTTCGAGCCCATGTGAGAATTTCTGTGTCGCAAAATCAAATGATGTTCATCCCCGCTTTGCCAGATCCAAGCGCCTGGAATTAGAGCTATCTTATAACCACATTTCGTTTGATCTTCTCATGTACTACTTCAAGAATGGAGAGAAATACTATTACGAGTCTTTGGGGAATAAGGTCAGTCAGGATATTTGGCTCGATGCTGTACTGAGCGACTTATATGAACTAGATGGCTTTCGTACTAGATGGCACAAGCAGAGACTCGTCTTTTGGGCAAGCATGTTCCGCCAATATTTTTGTTCATTTTTGTCATGACTCCGATTCTCAGTACCCTTAACCTTGATGGCTATGGTATGACGTGGGATGGCAATGCATATGTCCACGAGACGAGATGTGTTAGCATTCCTCGTTACCCCGTAAGCTGGACCTTCTTACCACTATCACTGCTTTTCACCGATAGGATTGCAGGGGACAAAGGCATTGTCTGATCTTCAGTGCAAAATCATGCAAGATGATGTACACGATGAATTGACCGGTATGTGGTTTTTATAATGAATAACGATGTACTCTCCTACATTCATTCCCCAAGAGCGCGGAAGATTGTATACTGCTGCGTCGGGCATTCATTTCAAGTCATGTGCGTATTTCTCAGTATCCCATTATGTTTGGCTGATCTATCATTCAAAGATGACGGCGTAAGCTCTTCGTCACTCACATTCATGAAGCTTGACGAATTTGCCCCAGCGCCGCGTGATCATTGATCACAATGGCTACCGCGACAGAGCGCCGGCGTCATCATGGTATTTACCCTCTGATGTCGATGTCATGACCGATATGTTAATTCGAGGTTTAGTGATTATGATGATTTTCCATCGCGTCCAAGGAGATATCAACGTGCACCTGTTGATGGCAACGTACATCTTTCTCGTCCTGGTTCCCCTTGCGCGTATGTGCCGTCTTGTTACCGATCATGATCAATGATTCACGAAAGTCTCCGTTAGCGGTGACAACTCACAGCCGGAATCCTTGTATGTTCTCACTAGTGCTCGTGAATGTTATGCTGATAATGACATTAGAGAGTTCCCAGAAGACCAACTGTGCCTTTTACCAGTGAAAGTATATGGTTTCGATATCCCTCGCAAGGCATGTATCATTGACATGTTCATCAAACCCTCGTGCCACTAATCTTGCGTCAGTCTTGGGGGACGTTTGACGTTCGTAAACTTGAGGAGATCCATTTCGATGAACATGCTTGGGACCATCTCGTTCTTGATAAATCGACAAAGGTAGAAATATTGGCAATTGAACTTGAAGGATCAGGTTCTGATAGTTCATTAGACTCTTGTCAAAGGGCTCGTCAATGTCACGAAGACGACCAATACATCCAAGGAGGTGTTCTCTGACGTCATTACTGGGAAAGGTGGAGGATTGGTGAGGACACTTTTACGTGTGGATGATTCTGGTGTCACCAATAAGTTTCCAGATTGCGCTCCTACATGGTCCACCTGGGACAGGCAAAACCCTGACCGCGGAAGCTGTAGCCGAACACTTGAAACGACCACTCTATGTTCTCAGTTCACTTGAGCTTTCGACTGTACCCGCTGAATTGGAGACAAAGCTGGGTGATGTTCTGAAGGTTCGTGAGCTCAAATTTTTGTTCGCTGTTTCTCAATCGTAGCCTTGTCACAGCTTGCAACAACATGGGATGCAGTCGTCCTCATTGACGAAGCTGATGTGAGTTAGTTTCGATGTCTACGTGTTATGTTCATTCCATATACTGCGCCCTTAGGTATTTCTGGAGCAGAGGAGTCTTCATGAGGTCCGTTATTATACATCTCTTGCAAATTGGTATACTTGAACGTTCTTGAAGTTGGAGCGAAACGCTCTCGTTTCTGTTGCTCTTCGGGTCCTCGAGTACCATCGCGGTGTCCTTTTCTTGACTACCAATCGTATCCAAGCCTTTGACGAAGCCTTCTTATCCCGGTTTTCCATTGGTGACTACCTCGCCTATTAAGGATCGTTTCATCACCTGACGTCTGTTAAAGCCGTGAAGTACCCAGAGCTGGATGTTGACGCCCGTTTGACCATCTGGCGCAAATTCTTTGAGCTTGCTGGGTGCGAACTGTGGGGTGGCAGTGGACAGCCTGAAGACGGACGGCAGAGCCCGGATGAGTTTGTCAAACTTGAAGGACAAGAACCGCAATGCTATGTTTCGCTTGCCGACCTGAAAGAACTGGCTGCGAAGCCTTTCAACGGTATGCACTGCTTTTTATATCTGAAGCCCTGCCATTGACGTTCCAAAAAAATTAGGTCGTACTATCAAGAATCTTGTGCGGACCGCGCAAGCGTTGGCTATGTCATCGTATGGCATCTCTCTGCATGGTGTATGCTCCAGTACTTATACTTGTGGTTTTAGGGACGAACCGCTTTCCCTTGAACACGTCAAGGTTGTAGTTGAAGCGCAAGAGAAATTCCTGACCGAGTTTGCTAACATGAAAGTATGACCGACCGTCGCATTATGACCGCGGATCTTTGGTTATTGTGTAACAAGTAGTTACGTTGTTTTGTACGTGGTGTCCTTGACAGAATCGTAAGCAAGTATAGCATCGAGTCACAGGGTTGATGAATCCAACAAGGTTGAATGAAACTTTTTTGAGGGGGCTTTCGTGGTGGACACCAATTGTCCGTCCGATCGTACGTTGATGTTGTAACATAAGGAGACACCGCTGTCCCTGTGGCAAGTCACAGTATTAGTAGCGTCAGGTTCAGAGATTTGGCTCATCAGTGCCCAAATCAGTGCCTATGGAAACAAGGTAAGGAGGGATCTGTGAAGTGCAGGAACGGTAGCATCAAGCGAAGCCTGCGCATAATCCAAATACCGCACGGTAAGGTATGTCAATGGATATCACTAGCAGTGGGAGTGGTCCTGAAAGGGCAAAGTGTAAAATTATATTCTACACTGCATTATTTTTACTTACGGGTCATTTCCGACAATTGCAAGTGAGAAACCTATGGTATAAATGATATATGGACTAACATACACCTCAAGCAAGCTATAAGATAACCGACGGATGTAGCCGCGATATTAATGTCATGCGGGTAGGGAGGGTTGTGTAAGGGTCTGTGCATCTCAGCCTCGTCCTATATCTGCATATCTCTCACACTCGAGATCAAAGATAGGCTGTTGTCGAACGAGTTTGAGGGCGTTGAACTGACTCGAAACATGATATTCAGGGGAGTGAGCAGATGCAGTGTTGAGAGCCTATGCGTCAACAGATGGTGTCAGCAAAAGGGTGGAACAAGCATTACTGAACAAATTAAAATGTCGTGTTAGGGACGAAGATGGGCTCCTCGCCAAGGATCATGAGTAATGTTCGTACCTTGGAGCAACTTCTGGGAATTGGTCGAAGGGTGACAAATAGCCTGGAAGCTGGTCACTCCGGCGTTCGCGTTTGCCAAAACCCTTCTCGCGGAAATGTGTACACCTCGGATTCCCTGTGCCGTGGCCCCAGGCCCATCGTGATCAGTTGACTAAAATCCTGGCCACATCATCAAGACAACGACTTTCACAAGTACTGAAAGCCAGACAGTGATTGCATGGCAGTATGAGAACGAGTAATGGCATGAGACTGAAGCTACGTAAAATTGATAAACGGTTACGACGGGATCAAGATGGAACATCATAATATATATTTCAATAATTATGGTCCTACATAATCGAGGCGCTGCCAGCCCATTGCACTAATGATCCGGACCATCCAGATATTAAGTATCATTATATATCCGTCACACTATATAATCCCATCATGTTCCGGACCGTGGCATTACCCCAACCTTCTCTAACTCCACATCATGTCAGACGCACCGGAAGTCAAGGCCACCTCGAACGGCATTTCTCCTCCAAGCTTCCACTTGCCAGTCAGTCGTTGTCGTGGTACTCACAGGTTCTTTCTGACGAGGCACTAGTTACCTGATAGACCAGAGATCATCACCGCCAACATTCAGAAACTCACGGAGCTAACGCCGAATCCGTACGTGCCATGAGTACTTCAACCGCAAACGGGTCACATATAACATACTGTATGCATGCAGACGCCACAGGTTCATCTTCAAGGCACTGGTCAAGCACCTGCACCAGTTCGTCAATGAGACCAGGCATGTTTTCTTCTTGCTATATCTCCAGCGCTCGACTGACGCCACGACTGTCCCCAGTCTAACCACAGATGAATGGATGGCAGCAATTGATTTCTTGACGCGCACTGGACAAAAGTGCACACCATTGCGTCAAGAGACCATTCTACTATCAGATGTCCTGGGTGTTTCTGCTCTCGTCGACGCACTAAACAATCCCGTTGCAGGAGGGGCAACCGAAAACAGTGTCCTGGGTCCATTCTACACTGAAGATGCTGCGGATGGTGAGTTGCAAGCAATTCCAGTGCACATCTATTTATAAATCGACTCGCAGTGGACTTTGGTGAATCGATTGCGTCTGAAGGAAAAGGAGATTACATGTACGTCGAAGGTCGGATTTTGACGACCAACGGGCTGCCAATCCCCAACGCCATCATTGAAACTTGGGAGACCGATGACCATGGTTAGCTCCTTCCAAATCTTATCTCACGGTTCATACTCATTATCTCCGTCAGGATTTTATGACACTCAATACGCAGACCGCTCACATCCCGACTGCAGAGGTCGCCTACGCTCCGACGACGATGGTAAATTTGGCTATCGTGCTGTTGTGCCAGTGGCGTACCCAATTCCTGGAGACGTAAGTCGATGTTTCATGGCTATGTGATCTTACACTGAAAATGTCGTCCCCAACAGGGTCCTGTTGGTGAACTTCTTCTCCTTCTTGGCCGGCACAACATGCGACCAAATCATTTACACATGATGGTCGAAGCCCCTGGTTTCCACAAATTGGTCACAGCATTTTATCCAGAAGGCTGCGACTATCTAAGAAGCGATTGCGTCTTCGGTGTCAAGAAATCGTTGGTAGTGGTATGTCTAGGTTCCTGAGTTTCTTTGAGGCCACTTGGTTTGACACTTGTCTTTCAGAACTTAAAGGACGTTGTAGACGATGAGGAAACTCGTAAGCGCGGATTTCCCCAGGGAGGTTCATTCAAGTTATTACAATACGACATTGTATTACTCACGGAAGACCAGTCTGCCACGATACGTGCTGGCGTTGAGGAACGTTACACGATTACGCAGGATCATAAAAGTAATAAATCATAATGGACTTGATACGGATGTATTGCAGATAATCCTGTTTTACTTAGTCATGTCTTTATTGTAATACCGTACCGAACACAATTGGACATTTTTCAGAACGCGCCGTGTGACGTGGAATGCAAAGCGGACGTTCACTAGCACTAGTGTGTACTAGTGACTTGTTACGATTCCGAAATAGATGGGTTCTTCTGTCTTTCAAAAACATATCTCCCACAAAGACCACAATTGGAATCACTACAGTTAACGACACTAGTACAGTCTTGGTGCAGCGCTCCATACACCAATTTTTGGCTCCTCACGCACCATCTCTCGTGTCCACCATCCTTTTCCATACAGAACTTGGGTGTGTAGTGTAGCATCTCTTCGACAATGTTTTATATATGATGAAATTTTCATCATGAACCAACTTTCTCGCATCTTTTGATTTGCTGGTGAAATGAGGATGTAACATCACTAACGACAGGAACATGTATGTAGTGCGGAGCTGCAAGCTAGGAGCAGAAGGAAAAATCAAGGATGCAATGGAAATCACTAAAGAAAGAAAGTGAAGACCGCGCCAATAGCGATGACTGACAAGGAGGAGAGGATGCAATGAGGAAAGGGATGATGACTGTGAGCGCGACAGGGATCTGGCGCCAGATCTTGTGCGGACTCGCCGCCCAGTCTTGATGCGCTTTTGCCCACAAAAAAAATCGAGTGACGGCGACAGCATAACTAGGCTGCAGGTACCAGTAAGAAACGGCAGCGAGATTGGTGTCGAGAGTTACAGACAGGACTCAAAGAGATGGCCGCATTCACGGGCACTAGATTTAAAAAATTGGTATAGGATGCTGCGCAGTGCGCAAGGACCGCGAGCTCGACGATTCGGACGGTCTAAAAAAAGCTTCGGCCACCAGTTTGCGGGGTCCTAGTCAGAGACCCGAATCAGAGCCGATCTATGTATTTCGGAATCATAAATCGCTCCGTTCACTCAGCACTGAGACATATTCAGAACACTAAAAGCATGTAACTAGCCCGATATATAATAGCATACATTCATTATGTACAGATACTTGACACAAAACCGTCACGCCATCTCGACATCCTCTGCAGTAGTTGCTGCTTTCTTGCCTGTAACACCTTTGTCATCAGCCATAAAAGTGTCGAGTTCAGCATCAAGCTGCTCTGCCGTGGGGGTTCTAGATCGCACAGGCTTTGGAGCCTTTGCCCTCGATGACGAAGCAACTTTCGCGGATCGTGGTTGGCGCGTGCGAGTTGAACCGGTACTGAGAACACAAAGATACAGTTAGAAGCAGTGCCAAAGGTGTTCCACTCCTTACCCTGCTTGCTGTTTCACTCCAGCACCGCCACTTAAGCGCTCTGCCAATGAAGGTCGTTCAATCCTACTCAAGAGCGAGGATGTTCGTAATGGCGCGGTGTCAAATGTGATTTCCATAGATTGTCCTACATAATGAAGAAAACGATTAAATGAGGACACATCCAGGCCACACTGCACACTCAAACCATCGAATATCAACACATACCTTTGGCAAGTTTACCATCGAACTGTCTCTTGGCACGTGTTGCTTGCAAGGGTGTCTCGAACGATACAACTGCCACACCAGATGAACGTCCACTGCGGTCGTACTTTAAAAATGAAAAGCGGATTTCAGGTTCAGTTTGGTTGTCATCTTCAGTTATATGAGCCAGAAGCGAAAGCGATCCGAATCATCCACAAGCATTGTCCGGTCCATGCGAGCGAAATAAAAATCCGAGTAGGAGGTGATGGGATGTTTTCGAATTCGGAATCATCGTACCCTGATCAAAGGCTCGCGAACGAGCGTGCCTATTTGTCCGAAAATGGACTGGAATGGGAAATAAGGCGCTTTCTAGTCATGGGCGGCATAAAATACTTACCACCAAGTCTTTAGGCGTGATCTCGTAGTGTAGGTTGGATACGATGAGCTTTGTAGTTGAACCAGTGTTGGCTGGTGTATTTGCCTTTGCTGATTGAAGCGGAGCTCTGTCATGGACCCAATGGCCATCAGACCCTTGAGAACGCTGAGGGCATCGATGAATCAGACAAGACACCTGCTACGAAATCAAAACTTACAGTATATGGCTTTTTCTGCCTTTCAGACCTAATGGGAGCCATATAAGATACTTGAACGTCAAGTAATTAGTTCAATAGATGGAAGCAGAGTAGCACGTTGTTCAAGTCGAAGAAATATCATATTCCACAAGGTAATAAGCGGCGTTTGAATTCGGCAGTTTCCGGACGCAGCCCCTGAGTTCAATCGTATAGGCACAAGGCTGTACGAGGTAGTAGGCAGTGTTAGTGAGCGCCAATGAGCATGTAGATTGAAATGAAGACTTTCATTACAATTGATAATCTGATATTCTCACAGATCGTCAGCCAAGAAAATCATGAGCAGGGTTTCACCGGCACATATGCAAGAGCGTGTCACAACGCGCCGATTGAATTTGACAATCATATACGAACCGATTCCATTCAAAGTACATACATATAGACATAATTTGCTACCCACAAACAACTACCGACAAGATTAGCACCAAGAAACCACGCTGTATCGAACGAATACGACAGCTCCAATTTACAACATAAATAGCCACCCATCGCCTATATCTACTAGGTGTAGTGAGAAGTTATGCCAGGGCACAGAGTAAGAGTGATATCGGTGTTCCCACAAGTATACACGACAAAGTCAGCAGGAACATAGCCATCTGAACGATAATTATCAGCCCACTGTACCGATGGCAGTAAGATGAAAACACATACTCGCGCCGTCATTGTCAGGGAATGCATAGGCATTATAACAAGTGTCATAGTAGAAAGGACTGTTGGGGCCAGGGCCCTCGTTGTTAACGCAGCCTCCGCCGCCGGCGGGAAGAGCACCACCGCTGCACGCGCTCGCAGAGGAGCAGCACGGGGAGTAGCACGTGTCGGATCCAGGTCCGGGAACGGGCTAAAACATTATGAATATGGATAATGTCAACACAGATGGATCACTCACACAGCCAGATGAGATCGTGCAAGCGAAGGCATCGCAACTCGCATCAGCGGAGGAAATCTCCATTCCAACGTTATACCCATAGATGAACGAGAGATCGTATGTCACGCTTCCAGGGATTGCGTACTACGTTTAAGTCAGTAATTATCTCAATACCAGCGACGGGAACTTACAAAGTTAAATTCGGCTCTACTGAAGGGAGTGTTACCATCCCAGGTAGGCCCACCAGTGGTACACGTAGTACCGTCGCTGTTGCATCCAGTACCTAGTGGCGCGGTCAGCGAAAAGCTGGCGAGATGAGTTACACACTTACCGACGTTGATAGCGCCATCCCAGTTGGAGCTAATGCCTAGGTTTGCACTCTGGCCTTGAGCAATGTTGACGTTGGTGTCGATAGAACCATAGCTAGTGCTCGTGTACAAGAAAACAGATTCAGAGCATTTGTTTAGAACGGTGAGAGACTGGGCTCGAGCCACGGTCACGATAGTGGCCAAAACTAAAGCGGAGAGAATGGCCATTGAGCAAGGATTAGACGACTTAGAAATGGGAGACAATGATATCGTTTAGACACTTTATGGGCCCCTTTATATCAGAACTCTTTGGCCGTGAGCGCGTCAGCATTTTGTTGGAAGTGGATACCAAAAATGGAGCCACAGGATTTCATCGCAAATAGTGCGAATTGGCAAGTAGTAGTATGCTGCGGGATGCCCATGGTCATTGATCTTTGGCCAGAAACCCTGATCCGGGAGACGGTAATAATTGACGGAGGATACGATGACAGCTCAACATTGCACGAAGGGTGCTAAAAGACAAAATAAGTACTGCATTCAACTTGAAACACACTAATAATGACAAAATAATACTTCTGTTAACAATAGGTATTGTGCGAGGCCCCAACAGACAATGACTAAAGTTTTTTTCTAAAAAAGGAACTTCTGTCAGTGTATGACTGCCACTGCAATTTCTCATAGGTCACGAAACTATTTCTGATTCGGTTGTTTGGAGACTCACTTGTGATCGATACACGGTTGAAAGGTTGTAGCGCGCTGTGGGCAAGCTTGAGTTGGCCACTAGCGAAATTTAATCCAACAAGCAAATAACTATAATGAATATAAGCTGATGAAGGGTAGGTTGACGGTCTTGCAATCTACTTACTTGACTTGTGCAGTGTGTAGCTTGTTCAAACTTTGACGTTGTATATCGGGGTTTGAAGTATAAACACCAGCCTCCATAATCTTGTTTCCAACTCCGCGGCACATATGCATACTCCGAGTTGCCAAGGACCAATCAGTTGGACCTTGTCTACAGATGAGCGCTCCTTGTGTACGGGTAAGGATGCTAGGCTGTTCAACGCTACATCAGGCTTCACGACCCGAGGCGCAAGGTCGGGGATGCTAAGCTGTTCCGAAAAATGCTACATCAGGCCTCATGATGACCCAAAGCGCGAGGAAGACCCTTTCGTCCTAGTTTTCTGTTGTTGTGACATCCAGTGTAAGAGCCGTGACTATTTTTACCAAGTGGCTTTTCGGATTTAAGTATAACTTATGGTATGACATATAGAATCGGTACCGGCATCTTCATATACTAGCGCTGGCCACTGCATTATCCCTGGTTCCACGCCACTTCACACCCATTGTGACAGGTTGCGACGCGATGAAAAAGATTGATATTTTTATTGCCGTGTTCCTATAGAATGCAAGTCCATTGCTGGACTAGGTTTATGGATTGATTCTGAATCTTCTCTCCAACGATTCTTTACCTGCATATCATATGCATCAGCATTTTCGTACGTCGTGCCCTATTATTGAACTTTAACACGAGCGTCTACAGCATTCATCATTCTGTAGCCCACATCCTATATTTCGCTCGCCCGGTCTCTCACACTAGTACTCACTTTCGGAAAATAAAGGGCCCACTGCCGAGTTCACTACCATAATCATTGAGCAATACATGGTCCCCGACTGGCGCGCCGACTCGTTGTGCCTTTAAAAGTATTTGGACTTATCAAACTTGGTCCGGTTTTCTGAGCCAAACCACCCGCTCTTCCAGGCACGGGGAAGTGAGTCTCTGTCGCAAAACATAGCCTTGTACTGCCTACATATCGTAGCCGATGAAACGGAATATTAGGTCATGCTGATACAGTGAGTATTGTTTGGTCTCAGAGAAAAATTACCACCGCCCTCCCATAGAATGTTTCTGTGCAGAGATCGTGAAAATAGACCGTTCGGATCATCCCCAGAGATGGTTGCATTTTCTGAGTGAATTGTTCTTCAGATTCTGATATGTCAATGGTGTAGTCAACGGATTCACAGCCCTGTTTTCTGTGCCGCAGGGAGCGCCACATCTACGAGCCCAGGATGCTACGCAAATGACTGAGGCGGGTATTGTGGATGGATATCTCAATCAAGTTAATACTAATGACGATCAGATACTCATAACCATATTACCGCGGTGCTGCCTTAAACACCATCAGACATACTGACCTTGGCTTCCATCTTACAAGCCTCCGTTACAGGCTTTCTGGCCAACGCCGCCCATTCAGTCCCGTTCACATGGAATTTCGCTGGATTTAGTCCGCTCCGCCGCGTGGCACGAAGGTGTACGAGAAACCAGACAGGATCAGCATTTAATGCAGCTATAAGAGACGAATACGTGTCCGAAAGGACTGCGCTAGGCTGATGGGCAAAGGACTGGAACATAGTACTAGTGCGTGTATGACGCCACCTTAGAACGAGCGCATGAAAATAAGATGTTGTTGTGTCCCAGGCACACCAGAACATCGGACGGACCACTCTTGACAGAGACAACATGGAGGGAAAGGTGGATTTGGCAGCTCAAGGCATGCATGAATTGCAGGGGTCCGCTACAAAAAAGATTGCAGTGATACATTGGGTGGTATGAAGGATCATAAAAAACTGGGTATGAGGGCGTTTCGTGTGCAACATCATGGGGTGGACATCAAGATTAAGCACAGGTGCGTACTATGTGCAAGAATTCTTTTGCGCAAAGTCGACGACATGATTACGAGAGATCTGAAGGAACAAGGGCGGCCAATGAGCAAAAAAGCGACAACTACAGGAAACGACTTATAACAGATAGACAGCAAGGAACACAGAGGGGGAGAGCAAAAAGGCATGGCTTACGTTACATGAATGCAACGAGAATTCTAACCCTGAAAAAACCAAAGGCGTAATGATCGACCAATAATGGCCACCAGTAAACTGGTGAGACTCAGATATTCCTAAGATAGGCCTCGTTCATACTCTGGTTCATCACGTGACCTAAGAGGTCAAAAACACATCTTTGCCTCATAACTCTGCAGCAACGTACAAGTAGCGAAGACTGTTCCGTGATTTTGCAAGCATGTGCTATAGTATCAGAACGCTCCACTTATAATCTCAATTTTCAGACAATCAAAGGAGGAGTAGGCATTTTGGTGGCAGATGCGCTGTTGTGACTCGTTGTGACTTCGGTGACCATCTGTGACCCGTTGAACGGCGCCACAATCAGCGGTGGAGCGCTCAGCGCTACTTCAGTCAATCACACATAGGTAGCGGTATAGAGCATTTCCATTCACTGGTGCTTCCGTGGCATGTTGAGGTTGGTTGACCATTCAAGATGCTTGCCGAATTTCTTTTTTCTTCATTTCTATCTAACCCATCTTGGTATGCGGGTGGCGCTGATGTCACTCATTTTGCACATTTAAGCTTTTTGATAACTGTAATGCCTACTCATTCCTCATTTTCTCGATTAAACTCATAAAAATTACAGCCATTAAAACTTATAACATCAATAAAACAATAAACATATGTATGAACATCCTCCTCCTCATCACCCAAATGAAGCAACCCAACAACAACAGAACAACCAACACACCTGAAACACACCCCACATGCAACACCTATCGATGAACATTGAACCGAATCATCATAGGACAACCGACAACCAACACTCACCAAGAATACAAAAGATAACGCCAATCACACCCAAATGTAAAGATCCACCCTCACACCATGCCCCATACTAACACACAACACCGCCTAAATTGCCCCCCTTGAGAAATCACAGCGACAATAAGTCTTATTAGACCACTGCCTCAATCAAAATTGAACTAAACCTGGCCACGATGCCCTCGCCGAATTAATCCGCCTCCCTAATCTCAACCAGCTGCGCTAGAAACAGAAGTATAAAAACCTGCAGACCCCACTCACTATCTTCGTCCCAGCAGACATGAAAGACAAGGAACCCTCTTCTATTAAGGCAGTATCTCAAGCCTCCCGCCCCTACCCCACCACTCTTTGTCCTAATCCACAACCCCCCCGCTCAGGACCAAAGTACTTTCCTCCTGACACTCTACAGGAAGACATCAACTTAGAACAAGCCATGGACCTGATACTGTATAAACCCTCCCCACCCTCCCCACCCTCCCCCCCCCAAGCCCACACTCCCCCCCTGACACACCTACCCCCACGCCTCAGGGGAACCATGTGCATCCACTCCAACCTGACCTCCTCGTATACCAGGATTTTAAAGTAACAGTGTCCCATGTTGACAACGACAAATCGCCGAACAGTGACCTCGTGAGTTCAATCCATGCACCGAATAACTCCAAAGGTGATCACCAAATGAGCGCCCCGCCAAGCCCCAAAGCCAGACATGAACCCACCGCTGAGGAACAAGCCATCCTAGATCATCTAGCTCTGGCTGACATGAACAGGTCTGTTCTCAGCCAGAACGGCCTGACTACTTGCACTGCCCTACCCCAGTTCACACCGACTCCAAATGGGGGATTCCCAGTAGTACATATGTCCCACTCAGCTCAGATATTTGACCACCTCGACAACAGAGTCCTCCTTGCCTGGTTCCAAGTCGAACACTGTAAGTTCTTAGTACGGGTGTTCGACCACACAGGAAAAGACGTTGCAGAGTGTGCTGCCATCCTTGCAGAGTGCATCCGCGCTAGCATCGCCACCATCACAGAGTTCATCCAACAAGATCCCCCTCATATACACATCTCCCCCCACAACCCCAGGGAGGTAGAGAAGCGAAACACCTCCCAATGGGCTTCCTGGTCCACACAGTAACAGAAGAGACCAAAAACCTGATCCTAAACCAACATATCTGGTCCAACACAGACCTCACATTCAAAGCTCTCCCATTTAACTGCAACCACCCCCCAGAACTTTTGTTCTGTCTATCTGGCTACATGACCTTAGACACCCAGACCATCCTTCAGACCGTCCATGACACTTGATTGTGCGAGGAAAACCGCACCCGCATCGAAGGGTTTTTCTCCCATTGTGGCCTCCCAGATGGAGTGCCCACCTACATGGTTACCCACGACTTCATTGAGTCTGCTCATGTCAAACTCCTCAATTTCAAGATAATGGGGGACTGTCCATCCCACGCTTTAACGTCCTCGCCACCAGTCCCACCAATGACGCCAAGACCTGGACTAACCTGCACAGCTTCCTTAGCACCCTTAACTACCCAACCAGCCTTGACGGTTGTGGGACGTTGACAGCCCTCTCCGCATGCCAGATATGCCACTCGCTAGCCCACCCAAGAGG